TTATTATTTATCCACCTTACAATTTATTATTTCATTGGCACAATGCCCTTGACAATTAGGAAAAGATTTACTGACATGTCCTCTGAATAATTGGCAATTAATTTGAGATTAGATGCTCAGAGTGCATTATTCTTAATGGAATGTGAAGGTGGAAGCCTTTCCCACCCAAATGTCAGGGAATGCAGAGTAAATGTTAACTGGCAGCAGAGTTAACCCTGCCCTTTGCACACCACAGAAGGGAGGGTTTCGCTCTGATGACCATAAACCACAACTGGCTTGCTTAGTTGGAGCCTAAAATCAAAGATAATCCAGCAGCGTCTTAATAATACCATCCCATCTGAAAACCTCTGACTTATCCTGATGGTGACTATAGAGGTATGCATCTCTGTTACATATGGGGAAAGAACTAATGTGTCCCATATGTTCTCTGGAATTTATTTTAGAGCCTAAGGGTATATTTAGATATCACAGACCTCTTTGCTACTCATAGCTCAAATAGTGTTCATTGCCCCATTCATTCATTCATTCATTCATTCATTCATTCATTCATTCATTCAGCCATTCATTCAGCCAGCCATCCACCCACCCACCCGTCTGCTGTCTGTCTGTCTATCTATCTATCTATCTATCTATCTATCTATCTATCTATCTATCTATCTATCTATCTATCTATGTGCGTGTGTACGTGGGAGCACAAGTGTCATGGCATACATGTTGGGAAGAACATGCAACAGTTGGTTCTCTTTTGCCATGTTGATTCTAGGGACGGAATTCAGGCTTGGTTGGCCGACTGCCCACTCAGCCTCACTGGCCCTGCCAGTGATCTGATAGGACTTTTTCATGTCAAATACCACCTAGATGGTAGGCCATGGGAAATGTTATTCTTGCTGAATCATCCCAGAGTGCCTTACCTTTGGGGCTAGAAGTTAGCAAGTGTGACTATCACACCTACCTGTAGTTTACCAGCTAGCATTCTTTCCTGAACCTCAGCCGAACCCACTATTTTAGCACGGAAAGACTTCCACCCATTTCTAGAAGCACTGGAAATGTTCTTTAGTCCAAGCTCTCTCACCTTTGTGTTTTGTCTCTTGTTATTTCTAACCCATTTGAATAACATTCAAATTGATGTGATTTTTTTTTTTATTTTTGAAAAGGAATGATAATTCATGTTTGGGCCAGTTTTTATTCTTTTCCCCTCACCTCAGAAATTGTCCACTTGACACTGTGGTGATTACAGTTTTTATCTCTCGGTAAGTGCTTCCACTCTGCCCTGCACTGTGCCATCCTGTCACCGCCTGTGATGTTGACAGCAGCCATGTGACCCACTCCTGTTATGTCATTGGTCTATTTATACGAGTGAGAGGAGACAGGCTCAGGGGCCATGAGTCATGGAGCTGGATCCACACCTGGACCTGTGTTTGTTCACTGCCAAGATGTGCCCTGCTCTTTCTGTTTGACTCTAATGCAATTGGGAACGGAGCATCTAGCACAGTGCCTAGCGTATGGTACCCACTCAGCCAGCCACCCCATCTAACTCTGTTTGCTGTATGAGTCTGTGCATTCGGATGTGTAGGATCTGTGTTGGACCACACAGTCTATCAATTTGAGATTGGCATCTCCCTCAAAGAGTCCATTGTCGTCTCTGTTTCTTAAAAAGTTATTTGGAGGGCTGGAGAGATGACTCAGCAGTTAAGAGCACACTGACTGCCCTTCCAGAGGACCCAGGTTCAATTCCCAGCACCCACATGGCAACTCACAACTGTTTGTAACTCTAGGGAACTGACACTCTCACACCAAGGACATCAAAAAAAAAATTAAATCAGTTATTTTTTTTTAAGTTATGTGGAAACAATTATTGTGGTTGTTGTTGACTCAATGCCCTTCATGAAGTTGACTCATGTAAACCGGTACGTAAGCAAACATCCATGTACTCCATACATCAGGTACTCCATACCATCATGTGTTCTGCTCTTTGTCTTTGTTTCCTTCTATTCTGGAGGGAACATGTTAAAACTTTATGGATGAAGTTTTGTTCCCTTTTGTGTCTGGCCTCTGTGTTCAATGTTAAGTGCTTGAGAATTGTCAACATTATTTATGTATTTGCAGTGTCTCCTTTTTAATTGCTGTGTAGCACTTTATCGAACATAGCATATTTTGTTTCATTGCCTCTGGATGTTTATAATTGGATTGCTTATAATTTGAGGTTGTCGTCATTAAGGCTACTGTAACGATTCATTTTTGTTTTCTTTTTGTGGACTTATTTTCGTGTTCTTCATTTCCAGTGAAATTGGTGGGTTACTTATTCTGTGCAAATTTGACTTAATAAGGTATTGTTAAATTGTGTTCCCATGAGTCTGAGCCTCCTTATACACCTTGTTTTATAACCTTGCCAAGAGGTGATAGATATATTTATTCACTCTTTGAATTCTGCTCTTCTGGTAGCTATGTAGTGGGATCTCCTTGTGATTTGAATTTGTATGTTCCTATCACCTAGGTATGTGTCAGCATCGTGTGTGTGTGTGTGTGTGTGTGTGTGTGTGTATGTGTGTGTGTGTGTGTGTGTGTGTTCGTTCTTTTCTGAACTTTTGAAGCATCCTGTCTGTCTGTCTAGGGAGCAGGTAAGGCACCTCTTGCTTCATTCATAAATAGGTGATAAATGATTGAATGATGTTAACTTTGATTATTAATGTATGTATGTATTTTCCTTTTGACAACTTGAACTTTGGTTTTAATACAACTGAAATAAAATAGTTCAAATGCAGTTTCATAAGTTTGTACCAGAATGAGCAGGTGTGACAAGTGAGACCAGTAGTTTCCTGCCAAAGTAGGAAATACAGTCATGTTAGCATCACTGTCTTAGTCCTAAATCACTCTTCTGAGCATGAAGTTGCTTCAAGGAGTTCTGTGGCTCGCATGGTGACCAGAGGCTGTGTTGCTTCACTAAGGCTGGAAATGCCTCTGCCTGATTTTCATCTTGTATAAAAACTGAAAGAGACTCTTTGTTTTTGTTTTTCGAGGCTGGGTTTCTCTATGTAGCTCTGGCTGTCCTGGAACTCGCTCTGTACATTAAGAAACTGGCCTTCAACTCAGATCCGCCTGCCTTTGTCCCTGAGTGCTGGGATTAAAGTCTGCACCATCATTGCCCAGCTGGGAAGACAACCTTATTCTTGTGATTTTTAGCCATCTCTGTAGGGTCTTTATCCATTTCTTTTATAATTCTTTAAAATTCTCTTTTCTATGACACATTTTTGCAACATTTGAAAGCTTTTCTTTTGTTCTACTAAGTGTAGTTAGAGTTTTCCTGCCTTCCCCACAGTCAGGACAAATCTTTGTCACCCGCCAGTCCCACAGCTGCTCAGACCCAACCAAGTAAACACAGAGATTTATATTGCTTACAAACTGTATGGCCATGGCAGGCTTCTTGCTAACTGTTCTTATATCTTAAATTAATCCATTTCTATAAATCTTTACCTTGCCATGTGGCTTGTGGCTTACTGGCATCTTCACATGCTGCATGTCATGGCGGCGGCTGGGAGTGACTCCTCCCACCTTCCTGTTCTCTCAATTCTCCTCTGTGTTAGTCCCGCCTATACTTCCTGCCTGGCCACTGGCCAATCAGTGTTTTATTTATTGGCCAATCAGAGCAATTTAACATACAGACCGTCCCACAGCAACTAAGTATACAAGATTTCAAGGAAATAAAGACACAATTAACTGTGGCTCAAAGAGCAAAGAAAAGGAATGTGTACCTTGCATTTGAAAGGCAGTGGAAGAGATGGAGATATATACATCAATAGTTATTTATCTATAAAATGAAGAATGGGGTCTCCTTTCTCTGCTCAAGTCTTTTACTCTAAAGGAAATGGCTGTCCTTTTATTTTTAAGATCCCCTCTATTAATATATGTTCTCTCTTTTTTATTTTGTAGTTTATTTATTTCATTGTTTTTATTTGATTCTGGGGATTGAACTTAGTCTCAAACTGGCTAAGCTGTGCCTCAGTCCATTTCCTATTTAGAATCCTTTTTCCACACAAAAAGAATCACAAAGACAGACAAGTTACATCCATGATCTCACTCATGCATGCAATATAAAAACTTATTTCATACTAATTGAGAGTAGATTGGTAGAATGGTGTTTACCAGTGGTCTGGGTAGTACCAGGGGAGAGATTTGTCAGTAGGTAGAAACTGGTTTGCTGCCACTGAGAAGGATGACTAGACATAATAGTACAGCAGTCTACACTTTAAAAGCTAGAAGAAAAAATTTGAAAGTTTTCACTGTCTACCAATGATAGCTACCTTAACCATTGTGCAGTATATACCTATGTTTAAATACATGGAACACTCCTATATACTCCTATATATTAAGTTGTAAATTTGTTTTTGCTTTTATATGCCAGTTAAATCAAGTTTAAATATGCACACCGGGGTCAGACCTTGAAGGCTCTTTTCTGAGCTCCCTCCCTGTGACTGGCATGTAGAGGTGTAGCTCCTGTGTTCTTAGCAGTTCCTATGCGGGTGGGCTGTGCTTTACTGAATCGGTTTGTTTGTTGTTTTTACATTGTTTCTTTGCTTGCTTTTATCTTTACTTATTGGCTCTAGTAAATTATCCTGGGGTTCCGGAACAGGCTTGCAAGTGTAACCAGTGAAGAAGGCTTTGTAATGGGACAGTTGTTGCAGGTTGTCCCCTTTGCAGTTTCAGTGGCTTGTTCTCCCTCCCAGAGTCTCTGTGGATGTCACAGGCGCCCGTCTAAGTGCAAAGCCTAGAGGAAATTCTCCATTCTTTGGCTTTCTAGTGTTGCATGTGATAAGGCCACACCTTAGTTGTTTCTGGGCTGTTTTCTCTTTGGTGCCTTCTTCTGGCTGTTCCCCAGCGGAGGGAAACGGAAGCACTTCCTCAGGGTGGCTGAGGGGCTGTGGGCTGGATGTGCCTGACGCTGCTTTCTCACACACAGCCCTCTCTTGTTGATGTGCTCTGTCTGTTTTATGTATTTCCTGCAGGAGGACGGCTCAACAAGGACCTGCGACACTTCCTCAACCAGCGGTTCCAGAAGGGGTCTCCGGATCATGAGCTCCAGCAGACCATAAGGGACAACCTCTACCGCCATGCCGTGCCTTGTAAGTAGCCAGCTTTAGTGTCCCACTGCTGGAGTGGGAGTGTGTGGGCTCACGCGTGTGTAAAGAGGAGAAGGTAGCTCAACTGATGGTTCTGGCACACTTTGTAGCGAGTCCACCCAGTGATGCCCCGAGTGAAGCAAATGGCGGTTGACAGTGGGACAGACAGCATGAGATCATGGTGTGACTGTGTGACTGGATTTCCACATGGCTCTGCTACTTATACTGGTTTTAAATGTGGAGTGAATTAGCTACCTTTTGTGAGCTCACCGTCTGATCTGGGTAAAGAACATGTCAGCCATGCTAGCTAGCTTCATGGAGCTGCTGTGAAGTATAAGTGAGCTGAAGCGGGTAAGCCGTTTGTAAAGCCTTGGCAAGGTGAAGCCTCTCGAAATAGACATTTCTAAACATTATTGTGTTTAATGGAGTGAGCGAGGCAGAGACCCTGAGACTGACCTGGGTGGAGGCCGCTGTGTCTTTAATGGCCCTCAGTGGAGGGAATACCACAGTACACTCTCCTTCCCTACAACCAGATTTAAAAATCCCCAAGTATGGGTTGTAGGAAGAGAGGATTTTCAAAGATTAAAAATTCCAAATTTTAAAAGCCATTCAATGCAGTCAAATTTGAGCAAGCAAGATCCAGAACATCGGGCCTCTGAAAGGAAACCTTTGTGGGTGAGGACAAGAGGCAGTGTGTTGATCTGTGAGTGGGACATGGACACACTGTGTCTGTGAACAGGCTGATCTTACCTCTGCCTCTTGGGAAGACATGGCGTTTATTTGATTTCATTCATATCTCAAGGCAAGAGTGATTCTGGTTTTATTACTGGGAATTTTATGTAGTGCTGTCTGTCACTTGGTCCTTTGACATTTGAGAGAGATTTTCGAGGTACCATTTTTAAGACACTGCCTCCTAGAGGAAGATTAATATCCACAAAGCCCTCCTATTACTGTGCTCTCTTGTCTAGAAATGGTTTTCTTTAAAATATAGTATTGTTTAAGTAATGTGCTAGACTGCCAGTGTTTGCTGATACTACTCTAAAGTCGCAAGCGTAACTAACCAAAGGCTTTGCATAGATTTGAGAACCTTAGGAAATCAGATTCTAGAACAATCTGCTGCCCTCCATCTTACTTGGTAGTAAATCAAGGTTCTGTGGGGAAGAAGAATACTGCAAGTGACTTGGGCCAGCACTCCAGAGTCCCCTCTTTACTCACTGGCAGCTGCATCTGACAGAGAAGAGGTGACCTGCTTACTTGACTTGGTTGTCCACATTTCAGCTTTTCCATATTGAACTGAGAACTCTAATCCCAGTAATATCCTTGAATGACTCCATGTGTATTTGGATTAGTTGTAATTCTTAAATCTAGTCTTGCCAATGGGGTGCTGATTTTAATCCCATTTTTATTGATCTAGTAACACAGTTTTGAGTGAGAATGTGACTCTGGGTTACATGACTGAGGCTGTATGATCCAGCTGGGTCCACCTCTGTCACACTGGCCGGCATCACAGATACCAACCCCCTGAAAGCAGATGGGGAAACAGAGTCATGGGGAGTTCAGAGCAGATCCTCATCTTTTTGATTCTTGAACCTCCTAGGGCCATTTCTTAGCTGTCCTGTGACTGCCTGGAAGTTACAGTTGCAGGTTGAATGCAGCTTTGCAGAGTTCAGTAATTGCAGACTCATGCTTTTCTCCATGTACTTTCCCCCCCTACTTAGATTCCAATTTAAGAAATGGGGATGAAGCAAATGATCACACCATTGCTTGATACATCTATGCTGTTGCCATGGTTACATTTTGGGCAAGTTTTCCCATTTATTTTTGCCCCCACTGATCTCTTGGACCTGACTGAGCTACATGGCTTGATTTTAAGTGTGCCACTATTGAGGAAGTAGGTCCAAAATGACCTCAGTTTTTAAAAAATGATGGAAAAATAATGTTTGTCTTTGCTTGGAAAACTACTTGGTATTGATGTCCTCTTTGTATGAAACCAGTAGATAGGAATTTGGAAAGGGGAGTTGGTGTTTGGATTGAAAAAGAAGATACATCACAATTCACTGTACCCATCCTATTATCAAGTGACAGAAAAATGAGGTCTATTTCTGTGCATAGTGTGTTCTCTGTGTGTATACGCATGTATGTGTATATGTATATGTACATGGATATATGTATGTTGTGCATGTATATGTACATCCACATGCACATGTGTGTAAGTGGAGTCCAGAGGTCCATTTTTGATGTCATTCCTCGGGTGCTGAACACCTTGGGTCTCTCACTGGGACTTGGGGCTTACCGTTTAAGCTAGGCTGGCTGCCCCGAGAGTCACGAGGATCCACATGTCTCCACCTACTCAGCGCTGGGATTACAAGCCTGTGCCACCGCATCTGGCTTTCTAAACTGGAGGTACAGGCCCTCATGCTGGTCTAGCAAGCACTTTGCCCTCTGCGCTGCCTGCCCTGCCTGTGATGTGGTTTTTAACGTGAGTTGGCTAGTGTGATGTGGAATTCTGTGGCAGGCTTGGGAATATTCATCCCTGTGTGTGTTTATTTTGATCTTTGGCCCTATGCCTGGCAAAGCAGGGGTCTTTCTTCACCAGTACCTTGTGTGAATGGCTAAGGAAGCCCTGGATCGGGAGACTGCTTGTGTTGTAATAGAAACGAAAGTTCCTGTGATCTCTTGGTTCCAGAACCTTCCTTGGCTGATAGTCCCTGACCTCCGTGTGTAGAAGGGTGACCCCCTGAGCAGGTGTCTGCCAATGGGGGGCTGAATTTCTGTTCTCCACACTGTAGACGATATACTGGCCATTAGAAATGGGGAGATAAAGCTCCTCTCGTCCCACGTCACCTTGACATCCTCAGCATGTGCGTAGGGATGGATGTCACAGATCAGAACTCAGTCCTAACCGTGACAGTAGTCTGTTTTACGGACAAACAGAGGAACCGCTGAATTGCTGCTCAGTCACACTTGGAAATACCACACTGCTCGCTTCTCACCACTTCTGTGGTTATTATTTTAAATTTGCAGCAGCTTCTTTGAGGTATAATTCACATACTATCTACGTCACCCTTTTAATTCCTTCCTACAGTCCTATTTTTGTGGTAGCTATTCTCCCTTTTATTTTCCTCCCTATTCAAGAACTCTCTTTCTACAGTAGAAGGAAAAGGTCATCATTGCTAGAACTTAATTATATTTACCACTGAAAATCACCCCCCTCTCTTAGGACAAAAAAAAAAAAAAAAAAAAGGAGTAGAGAGAAGAGAGCTAAGGCAGAAGGAGCCAGAGTGTGAAGTGTGAGGGTTGCTTCGCCAGCTCTGTGGCCTCGTGCAGCTCCCAGAACCCCGTTGATGCTCTTTAATGGAAGGTAGGGGTCTGAGCCCAACTAGTGTCTCTCAAGGAGGGGAAGCTTATGAGGGAGGTCCTTGTAGGCATGACCAACCTCCTGACTTTGTAACCGTTTATCTCACACTTGTGAACCTGGTAATGTAGACACACACACACACACACACACACACACACACACACACACACACACACACACACACACGATATCTCACCATGTTCTAAGTTTACCATTTTGTCTTGTGCTCTTTTTGTAACTGTCCTGAGGCGCACATGCAGTCTGTTTCCTAGCCCCTGCCTAATGCGTCAGCCACACAGACTTCTTCCTGTCTCCAGCATACATCCAGCGCCTTCTTCTGTGTGCACACATTGTTTTCTCTGGCCAGTTCCTTGGTTTCCTTCTAAGGTTCAGTGTAGATGCCTCTTCTTCCTTGAAGGTCTGCCTCATCTCCTTGACTGAGACAGGTGCCCTCCTCAGGACTCTCAAAGCCCCTCACCCTCTACCATGTCCTGAGCTATGGTTCCTACCGTGTGTCTGTCTGTCCTTTTAGAATCGTAACTTTGCCAAGCCTCCCTTGGTGATCTCTGTACCCCTAACCTGTTGCCGGGATAGTAAGATAACTACTTGTTGAGTGAATGAACAAAGGAAGAAAGATGGAGGAAAGTTCACTGTTTTCCTTGATTTTTCTTCCTTGGTTATACCTAAGCAGCCTTTTTTTTTTTTTTTTTTTTTTTTTGGTTTTTCGAGACAGGGTTTCTCTGTGGAGCTTTGCGCCTTTCCTGGAACTCACTTGGTAGCCCAAGCTGGCCTCGAACTCACAGAGTTCCACCTGGCTCTGCCTCCCGAGTGCTGGGATTAAAGGCGTGCGCCACCACCGCCCGGCCTAAGCAGCCTTTGAGAGCTGCTTTTGCATAGGTTTCCAGATTGAAAGACTGCTCAGAAGTTCACTCCCCTCAGACAGAGACTGGCTGGTAAGGACTTCACTGGTGGCTTGGCAGGTAATCCAAGCCATCCTGAGCAGGATGCGGAGGGGCCCTTTGCAGCAGCTCTGAATTACGGTCTCTGTTGCTGTACCTCCCTCAGTGATAGCCTTCCTGTTCCATGACTTCCTGTCTTCGCCGATGTGACAGCGTCCGAGACTGCTGCTTTGGAGCGGCCGCGGTCCACGTGAGGATAAATGCCTCACCTGACGGGGCTTGTCCTTTGCCGTGCCGCTGCTGTCCAAGTGAGGTGCAACCTGCAGCTCACGGCTCATCCAGCAGTGTTGCCTCCCTGGATCGCTGAGCGCACCCCGCTCCTGCCTCCCAAGTCTTGGGGCTCTGCTCTGAGGGGCTCATTTTTCTACACAGGCAAAGAAATACCTCCTAAAACAGGGGAGGAGAAGAGGAGCCTGTTTTACAGCTTAATGTTTTGTTGATCAAGGCTCTCTGTGATCCTGAGACCAGTGTGACCTGCCCAAGAGGTATTGATTATTAAAAGGGTTTACAAAGAGATTGCGCTTGATCTCCAGGACATTTTAAATTTGATGTGATAAACAGATGACCCTGATCTTTGTTTACAGAGGTGCCATATTCAGATAGACAGTTGAGCATCTGCCAGCATTGACCTTTTTTTTTTTTTTTTCCGTCTTCATGCATAAAGCCATGCATTACTTTGGGGACTA